TCTCTTTAATATAAATTAAAACAAAAAAAGACAAGGAAAAAAATTAAGGTTTCTTGAAAGCAAGTGCCAATATTCAATTATTTCCCCAATCTTGCATAACTAAGTCTGTTAATCTAAGCAACAGATTTTTTTTAAATTTTATTTTATTTTATTGAGAAACAAATATCAATGAGACAGTTTCAAAGCTGATAATAGGACAGTTTCAATAATTAATACCTTGTACATTGCTATCTTCTTAGTGGTTATCCATAGTACAAGAAGCAGACAGGATATCCTGTCCAAATACTATTATTACAAATCTTTCTTCTCACTGAATTAAGAAAATAGCTGTATATCTATGCTAACTATTCTGTATATACAATTACAAAATGGTCCTTCCTTTGTATCCCCTTTTTGTGTTTAGTCCTGTCATAGATGGGCATTCTACTGGCATCTAAATACTGTAGGTGCTTGAATTCAGCCAAACAATCCAACATAGTCCAGCAGTCCATAATAGCAGTGGGTTATCCACAGAATATGTTGACTTGAGCCTTTTACAGCTCAGCATATTAATATGGCTTCACTTTATATACCTCGTTTTTACACTTTTCTGCTGGATGGTTAAGACCAAGATAAAGCAAGACCTATATAAGATGAAATGTAACTTTTGTATCTGATAAGGTCAGTCAAGTACCCTCAGGATGTATCTTGTAACCCTCTATCACACTTTGTAGATCTTTTCTGGGTGTCAGCCATGTGGATGAGTCACAGCCATTGCTTGACCAATTTTTGAGCAACAGATTTAATGACAAAAATAGATACTATAACAACCACTGTTAATTAGCTATTCCTGCCTTGAAAATCTGTAACATATGTACTGTTGTATGTTATCCTGTTTCTCTCTTTTATTCTATTTGTTTTGACTTCTGTTTTTACCTTTCAAAATCAAATTTAAAAAAAGAAAACAAATAAATAAAACATACAAGTGAAATAGTAAGACTTTATATAAAAATCTCTGAAACTGACATTAAAACTAAATAGAGTCTACATATATAATTGCAAATGACTTTATCAAAACGGTCCTCTGAAGATAAATAAGAGACTTATCTAATTTCAATGGTGAATCCATTCTTCATTTTAGGAAGAGACATTAATTTTACAGAAAATTGTGAAACTCAAGAAAGGCAAAGACTTCATGGGTCATTTTTTGAGTCTAGGATAATCACAAATACCAGAGTCTATCAAAGTGAGGACCAAAACAGGACACTATACACCAAAGACCACAAACATACAGACAAAAACCCTTAGCAAAATATTTAGCAAAGTGAGTAAAATTTAAAAAAAAAACTGATACTCAGTAATGGAAGGTTGACTTATTCAAAAATTTTAAAACCAATACAATTCACAGTATTAACACTGCTCTCTAGAATTTATAAAGAACTAAAAAACACCAGGGCCCCAAAATCTAGAGACCCAGTCCAGAAATGGGCTTCTGAGATGAACACACACTTCTCAAAGGATGAAATTAAAGAAGCGAATAAATACATGAAAAAATGTTCCACATCACTAGCCATCTGCAAAATGCAAATTAAAAC